CATAAAGTTTCCAGAGGCATGTGGTTTAGGATGTGGATGCCACTCCTGACTCCAAACCTGAATCCACCAAACACTGTCCACGATGGGTAACCACTATAGCGTTTGACGCATCAGTGGGATAGAATTCAGCATTACAGCAACCCCCAGTTACTTCATTATAGCAATTTGACAGACCAGTGCAACTAACACCAGACCAGAGGGCCCTACCATCTCTTAAATACAAGACCCACCCACCAGATCCTAGTTGACTCTAAACCAAGAGGCTTCCAGCCCACAGCTCATTGTTAGCGAAATCTGGAAAATCTGATCAGCTCACACCAGATTGGGAACGGAAAAAGACCTCAACCAAACAGTCCACAACTAGCCCTCACCAAGCCAAGAGAAACCATCTTCCAGAATCCAACTAAAACTTAGAGTTTCAGTATCTGCACTGTTTTTGCAACAACAGGATGAAACCAGAATTCTCTTTGGAGGCAAGGATTTTTAAATTCCACCTCACATCCTTGGGTCGTGTTGTCAAGAGTTCTCAGTCCTTAGAGAAGAACATCGTGCTTGGAAGGGTCGAGGCGCAGGAGAGGAAGACCCTGAATGAGAACGATTGACCCAGTGAGTGTGGCAGTGGGGTCAGGTGTGCAGAGACAGTGAGGCTGGCTCAGGACAGGGCAGGGTTCAGAGCCATTGTTCATAGGGTCCCTGTGAGTCCCAGTCACCTCGATGAGACAAACAGCCAGGAATGAGACAGAGCAGAGAGCATAAAGCAGGGAGCCAACAGTTCTCAACTTAAGACCCCAAGTCAAGTTTCTCTGCTTATTTATTGATAATCAGGGGAAGCAAATCACAAAAGGAATTCCTTGTAAATGAGGCCTAATTTTTCCCTATTGTCAACCTCCTCCTCTAGCTCAGGAATTAACACTCCTTCTGTAGGGGGCCCCTACCTGACTCCTGTCTGCTGAGAATAAACAGCTCATTTTCTGGGATCTGCCACGAGAGAAATCCTAACTTATAAATCTGTAATTCCTTCAATCCCTGAACAAGGGTTTTCATATAATATTTGGTATAAAGGTTGGCTTCCCATAGATTAAAGTCACCCTCCTAAGTATATAATACTATATATTTTTTAAAAAAAGAACAACATTGCATACAGCTGAAAGCCTCTCTCCGACTGTGTTTAACCTCATTCCCTTCCCATCTCAACTTGTTCCCCATACATTCTTTCAGAGATTTGTAATGTGTAACCGGTAACCAATCTGACTCATAGGGAGGTGAGCCCACATATGCCAAAGCTGATCTCTGCTCCACTGGGTTGTCTATGGCTGATTTTTCAAAAGCTGATCACCACCCCTTCCTTTCTCATTGCCTCTGGGTGTAAACTAGCCGCCAACATTTCTGGTTAGCAGTTGAATATCTTAACCATTTCCACTGCTCAGGAACTTCTTGTAATGCATATTAGTCATTCACATTAAGTTGGAGTTGACTCACAGCTGATCTTTCACTGGATTTCTGAGGCTGTAAGTCTCATGGCAGGAGATTGTCCATCTCTTCCCCAAGGAGCTGCTAATGGAGGCATGGTCCAAGGGTTAGCAGGACAATTTGTAATAAATTCACAGGAAAAAAACCCCCATATATTTTCTCAAGTGGGCAAGCTCTAAAAAGCCCAAAACAAACAGAAAACTGGTTTACGTTTTTCTCCACTTTGTGAACTGTGATTTGTTTCTCCATCATCTCACAGTTCCTTAAGAGCAGGAACATTTTACCCAAAACAGTATGGTGAACTGTCGGCACCAAAACGTTCAATAAATGCTAACTGACTCCTTCTCTTGAACCCTGGAGCCCCTGCAGACTCCATCTCCTCATCTCCTGCTTTCTGCTATCCCGTCACTGAAGTCACTGACGGTCTCTTAGCAGCCAAACCCTGTCCGTCTCTTATAAACCTTCACTGATTTTTTTTAAATGTTATTATTTGTGTGTGTGAACTGTCAGATCGGATCTGACTGGTACAGGAGAAGAATGCCCCTCCTCCTCCAGCAGAGCATCTGGTGGATTCAAACTGCCCACCAGTGGGATTGCAGTGCAGCTTTTTGCCACGAGGCCACCACCAGAGCTCTCGCTCACTGCTCTCTTCTGGTGGCCAACTGTGAAATGCAAATCTTAAGTCTGTCCCATCTTGAGAAACTATAGTTCCTATGTTGTTCGTTGTATAGAGTCGGAACCAACCCACAGCTGACCCTCAGATGGGTTTTCAGAGGCACAGGAGGAGATATGCCCATTCTCCCATAGAGCAGCTGGTGGCCACGAACCAAGCGCCTTTGGGATTTCAACGCAGCCTCTTGCCACTAGGCCATCAGAGTTCCCTATACTACATCTACTGCCCTTAAAAGGTACACTTTTTCTTAATGTACCTTCTAGGTGCCACAGTCAACACTCTTGGCACTAGTAGCCAGGAAATCAAAAGACATATTGCCATGGGAAAGTCTGCTGTTAGGGACCTCTCCAAAGTAGTGAAGAGCAATGGTGTCTCTCTGGAGACTAAGGTGCATCTGATACAGGCCATGGTCTTTGCTATCACTTGTTATGTATCAGAGAGTTGGACAATGACTAAGGAGGATAGAAGGAGAATTGATGCCTTTGAGCTGTGGTGCTGGAGAAGGGTATTGAGGGTACCATAGACTGCTAGGAAAACAAACAGATTCATCTAGGAAAGGTTTAAACTGGGTGGCTCCTTAGAGGCAAGGATTCTGAAGCTCAGTCTAACATATTTTCGACTTGTCTTAAAGAGGGACCGGTCCTTTGAGAGGGACATCATGCTTGGGAGGGTGGAGGGATAGCACAGGAGGGGAAGACCCTCTATGAGGTGGATTGATTCAGTGACTGGGGTAATCGGGATGGGCATGTCAGAGACAGTGCGAGTGGCACAGGACAGAGCAGAGTTTAGGGCTGTTGTACGTAGGGGCGCTATGAGTTGCAAGCGACTTGACGGCACATAACAACAACAACAACAGCAACAGGTGCACCATCTGCTCCTGTGTCATGCTTTCAGCTTCATCATGCCTTACCGTCTACACATACCGCCCACCCCAAACTTTTCATTTCCATTTGATGTTTCCTTTTTTTAATTAATTTTTTTAAATTTTTATTTTATTATTTGTGTGTGTTTACCGTCAAATCAGATCTGACTGGTACAGGAGGAGATTGTCCCTCCTTTCCCAACAGAGCATCCGGTGGATTCGAACCATGCGCCTCTGTGATTGCAGTACAGCTTCTTGCCACAAGGTCACCAGAACTCCCTTGATGTTTCCTCTTTAGAGCCACAGCACCTTAGGTGCTATGAAGTCTGGACTCTTCAAAAGACTCTTCAAAGCCAGAGCACTGACACCACAACAAACTATTTGGATTTGAACTTTTTCAGGGCAAATTACCACTGATCTTGGACTTGTGTGTTTGTATTTTAAATCTCTCTGTTCCTGTCTCCCCTCATGTATAAAATACAGATAATGAGGACACCTAAGGAGCTCTGGTGGCCTAGTGGTAAGAAGCTGCGCTACAATGCCAAAGGCATGGGGTTGTGGGCAATCTCTTCCAGTGTGATTTACTGCCTCTGAAAACTCACTGGAAGGTCGGCTATGGTTCCGACTCAACACCAAACACCACGACCACCAAAGGTTGCACCCAAAGTCGTCATTATGTACAAAGCCTAGTTCAGAGTAAAAAACCAAACCGCAGCCACTGGCATGGAGTCGGTTCTGGGTCACAGGGACCCTCCTCCGCTGGTTTTATGAGGCCGCAAAACTTTACCGGAGGAGACTTACCATCTCTCTTTTAAGGTTTTTTAAAAAGTTATTATTATTATTATTTTTGTGTGTACCGGCAAATTGGA